CCCCAAAACCCCAAAACCCCAAAACCCCAAAACCCCTGGGTGAAAGAAAGTATTGGAAATATCTTTATCAACTTGTTACAAAAATGAAGCATGGTTGCTTTATGCCATTTGTTAGACTCTGGATATGAACTCAGATGCCCTGAAATAGTTTTCATTAGTAAAGTAGTTCATGATCATGTCTTGTACTGTCATCCCATCGTAGCTGAAGTTGGTGTTAGCTTCAAGTCCGTTGAGTCCGATAGCGTAGAAGTCGTGCACAATGGCAGCTTCTTTCTCGTTACCGAAGGTTCCGATGTACTTCTTCTTGCCACGGACATTAATGAGGACTTGCCAACGAGTGCTATTGCCGAGGACTCCAATATACCTGGATCTTCTCTTGGAAGTTCCATTGTGGAGGCCTCTGGAGCTCTTGGTAGTTGCAGTGAATCTCACTTCTTGGTTGCACTCAACCATTTGAAGGATCATGTTTAGATTTTTAGCGACTTCAGGGAGAGAACTCTTTCGATTCTTTGGGATACTATTGCTGCTCTGTTTAGAAGAAGGTTCATTCTTACTCTTATTCTTATTCATCAAGCCTTGATCTCCAACAATACTCTTCTTGCTAATCATTGCTTCCGAATTAGTAAGCATGGCTTGTGGTGATTGTGAAGCTTCTCAACTCCAACAGAATTGGTTGAACACTTCAGATAGTGCTGCTTCAAGAGCGTCATAATAAGTCTATACCAAACTCAAGTTAGATCAGGTTTGGGAGCTCTCAACTTACTGTGGCCATATTCTGGGCAACGTTCATTGAATTGTTTGTGTAATTGGATAACATTTTCTTTATTAATTATAATCGATTTGGTAGCTTTTATATATCATCGTCTGGCTGCGTATCCTGATGACAAGATATAACAATTTGAGAAAGCATTAGCTCTACCCAAGTTTTCATGTTTAGAGTCTCAGGGTTAATAAAATTAGTATATACTTCTTAAAAAATCACTATCAATTTTCACTTGTTTCATTTCTTCAGCAATAAGGTAATACTTGTTATAATAACCTCCAGACACTTCTTGCTTAAATTGGATCCCTAAAACTTTCCTATGCGCTATTGGATATATCTGTTGGTGATATGCAGGTTTATAAACCTCAAATTATCCAAAAATTAAAAGTTTGAGAACTTGCTTAAAATACTCAGGTAGAAAAATTTATGAATAATCCGGAAAGAAGTACTCTAAGAGACCCATGTACCTTTCTATCAAGAACTCCTCCGGCATGCAGGAGCCGAGATGAATCATAATTTGTTTCAAAATTGTATAGCAACGGATGATTCCTCTTCCTCATCAGAGCTTATTAATGATTCTTTAAGTGATAACGGGTTCACCATTGTAACAATGTTGTTAAAATTTTGCAGTTTCACTCCCTTCAAAACACCAACACCTCTTCATACGAATACGATAGGCTATGAATATTAATTTCTTTAAATATTTGAAGCCTTAGCCTGATTCAAAAATTCTCAAATAATATAGAGGGTTGTCAACTCTACCATAACCAATAATCGTGTTTAGGCCGCAAGGTTAAAAGCTTTAAAGCATTAGATTATCTATAAGTACATACTTTGCTATCTATTTCTCGTCATACTACTTTCAGCAGTTTGCTAGATCAAAGAGCGAATAAGTTGAGGAGACAAAAAGTTAATAAATCCTTAAAGTTCGACCATCTTAAAAGATTTTGTTAAAAGCGAAAGAGTGCTTCTATTCTTCAATAATCTCTTTCTAATGATGCAAGTGTATCCTTTACGGCTTCTGGGTACTTTATTTTATTTCTAATATCAATAGAGACTCCGTTTTCCAATTTTTGGTTAATCCTCAATTCGAACTGTCTGAATGATAAAAACTTGGGTTATCAGAATTCGAAATATTTAAAAATTTCAGAAAAATATCAGTTAAAATTATAGAAACTCTTCTGAATCAAGTCAGTCTGTCTCAATCACAGTTATTGTTTCAATAAAATAAGTCGTAAAGCTCTCAAGTGGATTTTCTGAATGTAAGAATCGTAAAATCTTCATTCCCTGAAGAGTTTGCTCAAAATGAGAGTAAGAAGTTGTATATCCTGAAATTTTCTGCTGAAAATTTCTAGATTTAGCCTTATCCTTGCTTAATGGTCTAAGGGGACTTACAAAAGAGAGTTGTTTGCTTACAGACCCTCTTTAAGTCCTAAAAATTTGAAATTGGTTGCCAAATCTACCATATTTATTCTTTCATATCTTAAATATAATTTACAGCAACAAATCTCAAGAAAGGAGTCTAAATGCTAATTTTTAGCGAAGAAAAGAAGCTTTTAACTCAGGGAATAATTTCAGTTTATTCTTTAGCATTAAGATGATAATCCTCTAAAGAATAGGCCCGGTTGGATCAGTAGAGACAAGAATTTTCCAATGGAAAGGATTTTCACTAGATTTCTGAAAATATAGCAAAAATTATATCAGATTGAAAAACTTAATTAAAGGAAAATTTTCGATTGGTGATAAGTTATTCCTCTCAATCCCTTTATCTATGAAAGTTCTTTAATTTAAAGTTTATTCAGGGCTTAAGTGCAATTAAGAGGGGTTATAGCCATGCATGCTTTAAGAATTGAGACTGGTTAAACAGACCAAAACTAAATAATTCATAATCTCATTATGCTCGTATTTTTCGTAATTTTAAATCCATTATTCGAAATTTATGTAAAAAGTGTGGCCTAACACATTTTAACACAATCCTTGACAACAAAAATTAGAAGAAAACTTCTATGGCATGTTCAAAAATTCAGATAAGACCATCAGCTCTTTGTTTGATGGGTTAAGATCAACCAAGAATGTAGAGGCCAATCACAGAATGCTATTGGAGGAATATCACTTTGAATGAAAGTGCTTAGGAAGAGATAAGCCATGTTTAATTTTCAACAACAATTTTAATGGAGTCAATTAGCTCGAAGTGAAAGGAATCGTTAGGTTTTAAGCTTTATCTTGGCCAAGAGTCATCTAATTCAAACTTTTAGATGCAAAGAGTCTTGGACTTGAGTTTAGAAGGTTATCATTATGTGGGCTCTCTTATGCAAGAGGCTCGAGGTGTGCCAAAAGTTGATAGTAGCAATAAAATATGACTAAATCGATACAATTTGTGTAAAAATAAGCCGCTATAAACTCTAAAGTTCAAGATAATAGCTTTAAGTTTATTTTCATTTAATATGAAGGAAATAATAATACAGAAACAAAGCTTAACTAAGCAATGAATCTTTTATCGTTGGCATTTCTAAAACAATTTCATCATCCATGATGAAATAAATTGAATAATCTATAAAGATTTGTGTGAAAAAATTATCTACTTCTAAAAAGAGCAAATATCTATTCTAGAAGATGAACTTGATAATTTTAATAAATATTTAAAGCCTCACAACCTCTCTCCTAACAATTTTGATTGAACATTCATAGCATAGGCTTCCATAAGCTACCTTTTTGCTAAACCTGATAAAAATATTACATAAAATTCAACTAAAACTCATCAAAATCTACTTCTAAAAAAGCCCTATCGCATCTCCTTTCTCTTCGCTTGCCTCAAACCATCTTTCCGCTCCTCTCACATCTCTCCTAATGCTCAAAACCCCTAAATAATCTTCCATTATCCAACTCTAATCCCAATAACTCACCACTTCAACCCTCACCAGCACTCCAGGGGTTTTGGGGTTTTGGGGTTTTGGGG